CTCCCTTCCTTCCCAGGACTTAACTGCCAGTTTGTGCTGCTTCATCCCCTCACCTGGCCCCCCAACCTGCCTCCTATCTGGCAGCTATCAGTTTGTTCTAAAGAGAGAGTTTTTATATCAACCAGTTTGCTTGTAAATTTAACCCTTTGTACGCCATAAGCATCTATAGACACAGTACATTCAAAATATCGTTGTGTGGCGTGAACTGGTTAATTGTTTTAGTAACGGCTCTTTTTCTGGTGGCACCTCTGAGAGGAGACGAGTCCTGCCTTCTTAGGGCTTCCCTTCCACCAGGGGAAACAGACTCAGACGCTCGCAGGAAGTGTCTGGGAGGACAGAGGGACTGGTCGAGACCTTCTTACTGGAGGATATGGGGTTTGGTCTGAGTTTTAGTGGGTGAAATGTGTGGGAAGAGTGAGCAGTAGTTGGGGGATGTGGTGTGGACGAGCTTCAAGAGCCATCTGTCCACACCAGTGATGGCGAAACTTTTGAGCTCGGCGTGTCAGCGTTTTGAAAAACCCGAACTTAACTCTGGTGCCGTGTCACATATAGAAATTTTTTGATCTTTGCAACCATAGTAAAACAAAGACTTATCTTTTTGATATTTATTTTATATATTTAACTGCCATTTAACTAGTTCTGCCACTAATTGGGGCCCTGGCACAAGAGGAAATTCTGGTTTGGTTTACCCACGTCGACCTGTGGGAAGGCGTGTTACAGGTGAGCTCATCAGAGGACTCGTTTACCACTTTCATAGTCAGTGAGAGGTCAGGGACTGTTCGCGTGGGCATTCTGAAATAAAGCTACTGACTCGTAGGATTGCAGTGAGATTTGGCATATATTGAAGTGCAAGGCGTAGTACTGAGTCTGAGCTAGAGTTTTAATGAACCAAAGTGTTCATGTTACGGCCAGCAGGCAGCGTACCTCACAGAGGAGACAGCCTGCTCTTCATTATACTAGCCCTAGACCTGGCTTTATTGTAACGTGGGCTGTTATGGATGGAAGCAGTGTGAGAAGTTGGTTAAATTTCCTCAGAGCTCAGAAATAGTAGCTAAGGGAAATTGCTAACATGAATTCTTAAAAATTTACAGTTTGTGGATATGTGATCTTCCGATGTGCAAATGCTCAGAAAAATGCATTCCGGAAAAATCCCGCTGACCCAAAGCTTGCACGTAAGCACTGGTTTTCTATTTATCGCATTTGTATTGCATGAATAGCATGTCTCTATTTGCCTGCATGTCATCACCAATGTGTTTTTATTTTCATATAGATTTAAAGACCATTCATACTTCAACGGGAAAGAATCTTCTAGTTTCCGGATGGTGGGGCTTCGTTCGCCACCCCAACTACTTGGGCGACCTCATCATGGCCCTGGCCTGGTCCCTCCCGTGTGGTGAGTACCAGGAGCGCTCACCTGACTCCGTCCACAGGGGTGTCTTCGTTGGGACACCGTGGGCAGAGCCCAGGCAGACGCTCCTCCCTGTGTGGACACGCGGGGCCTCGTTCTGGCTTCTGGGGGAGTTAGGGACTCCCAGGGCCTGAAGTTTTCCTCGAAACTTCTAAAAGCAAATGTGCCGTTTTAAACTGTGCCCGATGCTTTTGGCTAAGCAGCACCTGTGGGAATTAATTTCACTTGTTATCCCACTCAGTGGACACACTGGGACCCTGCCCTGAGCAGCAGCGAAGGCCGATCTGTCTTCTACCAGCGGGCCTGCTCGGCCGCCCCCACCCCACTGAGCACCAGGGGCCGACGGGAGGTTTGCCTCCAGTGGGAGGACGAACGACCTGATCAGGGTGGGTGGTTAGAGACGATTAATCACACTTATCTGATGAGCTTTTAGTTCAGATCCCGCCTCTGCCGCCGCCAGCGGGACCTTCCGAACTGGCTTGGGGAAAGCAGAACTGGATATGGTGCTTTGGGACACACAACACTGACGGCTGTTCCCGTCCCCCCCCACCCCCAGGTTTCCAGCATGTCCTGCCCTACTTCTACGTGGTCTACTTCACCGTGCTGCTCGTGCACCGCGAGGCCCGGGACGAGCGCCAGTGCAGGAGGAAGTACGGCCTGGCGTGGGACCAGTACTGCCAGCGCGTGCCCTACCGCATCGTCCCCTACGTGTACTGACCTCCCGCCGCACCCAAAGGGGCCTTCGCGCGTCGCACTGAGAGGTTCTGTAAGCGCCTTTCTGAGCCGGGACTGTGGAGCCAAGTAGTCAGTCTTTTACGATAGCCCCGAGTATGATTTCCAAATCACAGCATTTAACGCGAGGAAAGACAAAGATGTTAAGACTTTGCACTCAAATAGGAAATGTCTAGCCCTTAAAAATCTGCAAGCCAGTGACATTATTGCCCTGAGAAGAACACTTTCCATGTTTATGGGTTTGATTTTAAAATGCCGGTATTGTTTTATAAACACTGTTACAAGGACAGTGGAGTGTGTTTTACTGCAGGAAGAGAATAGCATTTGCCTTCAAGTTGAAGTAAGAGGTTATTAGCAGCGCTGTTCAAGGGACACCATTCGTAGTAGCTTGCTTACCCTGAACTTCTGAACCTGCATTCAGAAATGTAAATACATAGCCTTTATGTAATATATGGTGACTCTGGGTTTCTCTGTACAGTATTTTGAATGTGAAATAATTGTCAGGACTAAGTATCTTAACAAAAACATTTGCAGTATTTTAAATTAAGTTCTGTAAAGTAATACATGTGAATTATAATTTTTGAAACAGAATTCATTTGGTATTTTGTAAAAGATGCTATTAAGACATAGGAAGGTTATTTTTCTTAATCCAAAGTTTGCAAATTAGGCTTTTCTACCTCAATTGCAGGTGTTTGTTTGCCTTTATAAACTTGCAAATAGAAAAAAAAATATTAGAATAAATATATATTTTTGGAGTAACAGCCCTATTTAAACATTTTTACACAGGTTGGTGGTTGAAGACTTGCCATTTCAGGCTAATATTTTTATATGTTTTTGACTTTTTTAAACTGTGTTTTTGCTACTGCTGAGCTCATGCAGTTTATACTGTATTTTGTACATTCTTTATGTTCCAAAACTCTGCTGCCTGTAAGGGAGTGTGGTATTCAGCTAAAAACAATGCAAGGGAATAGTTTAAAATCCTTTCTCTTAGTCTAATAGGTGTAGCTTTAGCTGTTAAATTCTAGTTAATAGTCTCATGATTAATTGTTCTGTAAGGAAAGCAAATCCACTAAACTTCTGTATTTGAATTTCAGTTCTCAGTACCTTAGCATCTAGTAAGTAAGGACAGTGCAGATGTTGAGTTGAAGGATGGATTTCACATGAGCCACGTGGGTCTGCGCGTGCGTTAGTTCAGGGCCGTGCACAGAGGTGGGTGTGCGTAGCGCCCTGTACTCTGCAGACACTGCTTCCCCCTGGCTCACCAGGGCGGCTCTGGGGACGGAGGAAGGGTGCGGACTCTCCCCCAGAATGAGAAAGTGCCTGACACCAGTTACCTTTTGCTTCTTGTGTTTTAAGTTGGAAATAAAGAGATAGGACCTGGAGCCTTGGTTTTCCTTCCTTTGCGTGTAACTCTGGGATCACCGAGACCGGAACGGGCGTCCTTAGGTTACACGCCCCCAGACATCTTTCCCTTTTTGTTTGCGACGCTCCTGGACCACAGGGCACCCATAGCCACAAGGGAGAACGGGCGCCTACCTGCACACGCACGGCCTGGAACAGGTACACCTGGTCAGAGTCCACATGTACCTGGTGTGGGACGGGAGTTTATTTCGCATGCTTCTCACACAGCAGGGCGACCTGCATGGTGATCCAGTGACTGGGCGGTCTCCTTGTGGGCAGGAACACCGACGTTAAGCAGTGCGAAGGGGAGCCGGTCGTTGTGGAAATGGACGACCTCTGAGGCGTCTGATAAACCGGGCACTCGAAGGTGTGGCCTTCCGACTCCGGCGGGTTAGCAGCGGCTGGTGCCTCGGTGGAAACCTGAGAGAGAACCCAGCAGTCCGGCTGCACAGCTCAACCCACCCACAGCGCGCGTTTCCTACGTGCCTGACCTGGGGGCTTGTTAGGAGCTAAACATCCTGAAGGTCGGGGGCTGTGTAACTGCACATGGGAGGACGCCTGGAGGGTGTCATCTTAAAGGGTAACCACGGCTTCCTAGAGTGCCTGTTCTTGAGAAGTGACGGTGGCTGTTGGTATAACAGCTACTTTAGATCCTGGCGATATTTGGGGCTTTTGTAAACGTGTTCGTGTCTCGGACTGCAGCTGGGGGGCCTCCACCTTCCTGAGCCTCCGAGTTAAAAAGTATCCAATTTCCCCCGTGACCCAGGGGACGTGGGGGCCCCCAGGCGGCATGACGAACACTGGGGTGCTGACCTTGGTTGGCAGGAAGTAGATTTCCGGGAAATGGCAGCATATCTCGCGGGGCAGCGAGTCCTCTAGTATCTTCTCTTCGGGGTTCCACCTTGCTCCCTCGATGAATAATCCGAAAATGTGAGCCCCAATGTGTGAGGGGTCTGTGCTCTACGATCAAAGAGAAGTGCCGTCAGCGGCGCCCGGGCGGGACCCTGCCCGGACCAGACGCTCCACTGGGGACGGGCCTGGAGGAAGTGGACGGCTCCCCGCCAGCTGTGGGGGGCCGGTCCCTGTACTGGGGAGCTGTTGCCGGGTGCGACTGAGACCTGAAACAAGTGCGTAGGCTCTGCATGTCCTCATCCTGAGCTGACAAGTGTTTCAAACACAGTAAAACCCCACATTTCCAGAAGGACCGTCTCCGGCCCAGCCTTTCAGAAGACAGATCATAAAAGGGGTCAGACTCTGTCCCCTGCTTCTACCCAGGCAGCTACGAGATTCGTGGAGGCTCTGGGAGGGACTTGGGAGCTTATCCAAATGACATTAAAAGGGGTGGACGAGCTGCTGATCGATTCTGTTAAGCAGAAAACTTGGTTGGCAGCAGCTCCAATTCTGGGGTGTCTCCAAGGGGGGCTGGAAGGCAACTTGCTCTCCCCCACTGTGTGGAGGGGCGGGGTGGCCGGTGCAGTGCCCCCAAAGGTTTCGTCTGCTCTGATTGGGCAGGTCCCTGGAGAAGGGACGGGCACCTTGTCCCGAGCTCGCCCTCCAGGCTGCCTGGCCCTTGAGAAGTGACGGTGGGAGAGAGGACGGTGAGGGCACGTGGACCTGAAGGGGGACTGGGCCTTGTGTATCCTGCCTGCCTGGCGCCTGGCACGTGCTCAGAGCGGAGTAAGGTCTGCGGAGGAAATGAGGGAGTGCTCTTCCCGACCCGAGCATCCGGTACCTTGAAGGCTCTCCTGACCAGGTTGAGCGTCTTCTGGACGATGATGGAGAACTCCTCCTCTTTGGGGCCAATGGTGCTGGGGATCACCTGGTGGGTGAAGGTGAGGGCGTCCGTGGAGATGCCGTGGGCCCTCCCGTAGTCCTGCAGCACGGCGGTCAGGAAGGCTTCGGAGAGAAGCAAGTTCCTTGTGAGTTTCAGGGACCCGGGGGCTGTGCGCATCCCCAAGGCCCCGGGTAGTGGGATGGGGGGAGCGCTGTCAGCCACACGGATGCCTCCGGGGGAGGGAAGAGGGGGAAGAGAAAGGGTCAGGAGACGCGCGAGAGGTGGGGGTGAGGCCGGGCTGGGTGCCAGGAGAGGCATTCGCTCTTCAAACATTTACCCAGTGTTTTAGGGGCTGGGGGTGCAGCAGGGAGGCAAGCGGCCCTGCTTCGCCCGCATGGAGCTTGCCGTCTAGCATTAAGCCCCCAGCACACACGGCTGTGATCCACATGGTGGACTTCTGTCCTTCCTGCTGGACGTTTGTGCGAGCAGGTGGGGCCTGGGGCCCAGCAAACGCTCACTTACTCATTCCTGCCTTCGTTCTCGTTAAACGGATACGGTAACGAAAGTGGCCGAAGCCCAGAATCAATCCCTAACGCAGTGATGGCGAACCTATGACACACGCATGTCGGGTGACACGTGAACTCATTTTTTTGGTTGGTTTTTCTTTGTTAAATGGCATTTAAATATATAAAATAAATATCAAAAATATAAGTCTGTGTTTTACTGTGGTTGCAAAGATCAAAAAATTTCTATATGTGACATGGCACCAGAGTTAAGTTAGGGTTTTTCAAAATGCTGGCACGCTGAGCTCAGAGGTTCGCCATCACTGCCCTAACAGGTGCCCATTCTCAAAATGCCGTGGCCTCTAGGAGGGGTCTAGTGTTGGCCTCTGACCTCATCAAATGAACGGCCTGGGGCTGAGGCCAGAGACACCTGCCAGGGGTGGGGGGCTCGGGGGAGTCAGTGCAGGCAGGAGGCCTGACACCTGAGGGGGACTGAGGCCAGAGGAGGGAGGGGGACTGAGGCCGGGAGGACAGGGACTGTGGTGGAAGCTGGGGGTGCGGAGGGCGGGGCTGGTCCTGGTTCCCACGCTCACCTTGTGGAAAGAAGAAAGCTGGGAGCCAGTATCTTGCAGGAAACCCTTCAAAGAAATTCTTTTCGAGTTTGGGGCTGGTGCTAGAGTGCTTCCAGGCCAAGATAAACCTCATATACCTAGAGGCAGGCAGACACAGGCGGGGATGGTGAGGGCATGACCACAGGGTCAGGCCACCCGGGGAGATCCTCCCTCCCTCCCGCCTCATCGCAATCCCTCCCCAGGCGGGAACCAGCCAGGCCTGTAAAGCTGGTGAGACCGGCTGGCAGGGGCAGGCCTTAACAGCCCCCCACCCCCAACCCCCGGGGTGTTTATGGCAGCGGGTCCCTGGCTGGGCGGGGCAGAGCCTCGCAGGCTGTTTGAGTCCCTCAGGGAGGATGACAGCCGGGAACATTCGCTCACGGCTGCAGGGACTGCAGTTGGGCACAGACTTTGGAAGGCAGCTATGCTAACCCCTATACCACCAACGCCCCAAGGTTTCCTGGGTTCAAACCCCAACACTCCCACTTGCTGGTTGGGGAGCCGTGGGCAAGTCCCCGCAGGTTTTGTGCCTCGTTTCCTCCTCTCTACGTGACAGTTCTGCTTCGTGCCCTGGGCTCACCGTGAAGGTTTGGTGACGGGGTCCGAGGACAGACCCTCGACAAAGGCCTGGCCCGCTGTGGGCGCTCAGTAAGTGTTCGGCACTCACGCCTTTCCACTGGCTGTGTATCATGTATTCAACTCGCTTAAGAAATACATGCAACTAATTCTTCGTTCTTTTCTCCTCTCCCCTCTCCCCTCGCTACTTTCACAAGACACAGTGTGGCCAGAGAATGTCCTAGGCCCGTGGTCGGCAAACTCATTAGTCAACAGAGCCAAATACCAACAGCACTTCTTCAAAACAGACTCGCCCAGGCCGAAAACCGACTTCTGCACATGGGCCACGCAGTTCCAATCGCACTGTCCGTGCGCCCGCACGTATTTTGTGGAAGAGCCACACTCAAGGGGCCAAAGAGCCGCATGTGGCTCAAGAGCCACGGTGTGCCGACCATGGCCCTAGGCTCTGTCTCTTCGAGGGCGGTGACCCTGGACGGGGCGGGACTCGGTCTCATTCCCGCGCCCTAAGGGGGAGGTAGGTCCCCCCCTCCCGCGAGGCCCAACGTGAGCGAGTGAAGCTCTGAGCCGCAGCCGGGGGGACGCGTACGGAAAGCGGCGGCCGCCCTACCGGTGGTAGATGGCCGTGTAAGCCATCTTGGCCCAGGTGTTGAAGAAATTCAGTCGCTGGATGAGGTTGTTCACCCAGGAAGCCAGGGGCTTGCACGACTTGTAGGCGTGTTTCTGTGAGGACAGAGGCACGGGCACATGGTAACATCCTTTAGTTTTTTTTTTCTGGCCCAGAGACACAAGCTGTTGCCGGGGGCAACGGGGGCGGGAGAGGCCCGGATTTGGCAGCCAGTTCCCCTCCTCACCCCACCTCCTACTTTACAACAGTCTCCTGTCCAGAGAACCCTTTGTCTCCCCCCATCACCGCACACAGCGGCCGGCTCCCCCTGGTCGTGGGAGGCCTGGGCCTGCAGCTGAACTTGGAGTTGACCAGAGCCTGGGGCGGGCCTGGGCCCTGCCAGCTGCTCCTCCCTGGGTGCCTCTTGGGGCGGGTTGGGGGTGGCGGGACCCAGGGGCCGGGGTGCTGTCAGCTGGCTTAGTTGGCACGCCCAAGACTCTAACTTGGGTTTCTAGAATTTAAAGCACATATGCCCTTCTCTAAGCACATGTATGCATAGAGCAGCCTGGGTCTTATGTAAGTACATGTGCTCTTATAATCCTTAAAAATGACATTTTTCTGAAACGTAAGGATTTAACAATACATCTTAGAGATGTGCCCAGTATATCCGCATCATCGTTTCACTGGATTCCGACGAAGAGGAATGACAGTTGTTTTCACCTTTAGGCTATTATCACCAGTCCTGGGATAGATGCCCTCAGGGGTATTCAATACCTCAGATAAATGTAGTTAAGTAGACTTGCCAAACTTCCCTCAGAGAGCTTATTAATAACAACTCGCCAAAAGTATGTCAGCACCTTTTAGTGCAGGCGCATCCTGATATCTCACCACGTGGCTATGCCACAGTCAGCCTGGTCCTGCCTGCGACGGGGCCTCTACTTCACGTCGATCAAGCCCGTAAACATGGGGGGACCCGCCCCCCCCCAACTCACCTGCCACAGCTCGGGCACTCTGGATTTAAGAAGAGAGTTGTAGATCTCCTCCAGCTCCGGGGTGAGGACGATCTTTCCTTTGATAGCCAGCTGAAGGTCTCTCAAGGATTCATGTATGACAAGCAGCAGCTTATCAAAGCGTTCGATTTCTTGCTTCAAAAAGGGCAGCAAGACACAGTGGATGAGGGGGTCGTAGCCTGGATTAAAGAAAGAGATAACATGGTGATATTTTGGCCCGGCCGGCGTGGCCCAGTGGTTGAGCATCGACCTAGGAACCAGGAGGTCACGGTTCGATTCCCGGTCAGGGCACAGGCCCTGGTTGCGGGCTTGATCCCTAGGGTGGGGCGTGCGGGAGGCAGCTGATCCATGATTCTCTCTTATCATTGATGTTTCTATCTCTCCCTCTCCCTTCCTCTCTGAAATCAATACAAACATATTTTTAAAAAAACCCAAAAAACAGAAAGCGATAGGATTTGAAAGTTACAGGAATTTCTTCTGTCCAGGGAAACCTCTCCTGCAGAGGCCAGTTAGTAAATGCTTCTGGCTTCGTGGGCCACTCCCCGCACCCCACTCCGGCCGCGTGGGTGCTGCAGGACAGCGGGAGAAGGGCTCCCTGGCTGGTTTTCTGACCATGTTTACGTATCACAAAACCTTCTTCTTTTCTCCCCCAGGGAAACATCCTTCTGACTCGCAGGCCGCACAGACGCCAGCGGCGGCCGCGTTGCCCACCACGGGCCGGACGCAGCAGCGCTTGGTTCCACAAGGAACCCTTCCGAGGGTGGAAGGGCCAGGTACCCCAGCCCAACGTGGGGCCCCTGCGAGCCTGGCCTGGCCCGGCCCTGGGCACCAGGTCTGCCCCGTCTCCTCTGGCCCCACCCCCCCTCAGCTCCTCCCTGATGTGAGAGACACATCCGCTGATAGGGTGCCTCCTGCATGTGCCCCGACCGGGGCTGGGGATGGGCCTGCAGCCCAGGTACATGCGTGACCTTGACCGGAATCGAACCTGCGACCCTTCAGTCCGAGGCTGGCGCTCTATCCACGGGGAAAACCGGCCGGGGCCAGAGCTGCTTCTCTCTGCTGCCACCGGGATTGTTTCTCCATTCTTAGTCCTGAAGCCATCACTACCGCCTCCTTCCCCAAACCCCCCCAAACCCCAATACACCGACAGCCTCCCGTTCCGCTCTGCCCTTCACCCGGCCCCGGAGGAGAAGAGGGCTTTAGCTCTCCATCTCCTCTCAGCCCCTTCCTCTGTGGCCCTTCTGTCCGTCTCTGCCCTGACCCTGACCCTAACCCAGCAATGGCGAACCTATGACACGCGTGTCAGAGGTGACACGCGAACTCATTTTTTTGGGGCTGATTCTTCTTTGTTAAATGGCATTTAAATGTATAATATAAATATATAAAAAATACAAATCTTTGTGTGACTATGGTGGCAAATAGCAAAAAATGTCTATATGTGACCCGGCACCAGAGTTCAGTTAGGATTTTTCAAAATGCTGACACGCCGAGCTCAAAAGGTTCGCCATCACTGTCCTAACCCTATCTGCCTGGTGCCAGAGTCCTGCGCTGGGGCCCGGGGGAGAGGAGGCAGGGGGAGGGGGAGGAGGGAGGACGGGGAGGGGTCCAGCCGCTCGCCTTCCAGGCCTTTATTCAGAGCCTCCCACACGGTGCCCGCCATGATGCTCCGCAAGGTGCTCTGGGCGCCCCTCCGCTCCTCCTTCTCCACCGTCATCGGCAGCCGCTTCTGCACATTGGACACCATCTCCATCACCAGATCGTCGCTGCTGGGCTCCCGGCTGCAGGGGGGGTGGAGGGAAGGGAGGGAGGGGAGAGTGAGGGCCGCAGGGGGAGGCCCATCTTCCCCAGCAGGAGACCGGGCAGGGCCGGGCGCCGCATGGGGCCCATGGAGCTTGACTCCCTTTCCACGTGAGGACTGTGAGGCATGAGACACCTGCAGGGCGGGGGGCATCTCCCCGTTTCCATGTAAAAGCTCCGTCATCTGAGCTCCTCTGCTGAACGGAAACACCCAGACTGCAAAGCAGAGGCGGCGGCAGCCG